GAGAATTAAACACACTGCTGGTTCAGTGGGAACTGTGCTCATCACCATGGTCTAGGCATCCTTCTGTCCTCCTTATATCCAGGCCCTCAGTAATTGGGAGCTCTTGTGTCATGAAGTTCAAACTCCTGCTCTTTGAGAGGCATGATGGGCTATATTGTCACAACTGTAAGACACACACCCCGTGTCCACACTAACGGTCTCTGTATGGTAATGGTTCAGGAAAGGGGCGGGGAATGCAGCCTCAGAAATACCTTGCATTTTGCAGCTGTTCCTTGAGGTGCTCCCAACCTTGTGCTGGAGCCTTTAACTTCTGTGACTGTGTTACCACAACCAGTGGTGTTACCACAATCCCTGGGTCACTCTTCAAAGAGGACTGGAGCTGGGAATTGGAGTGAGAGGGCAGGCATGGGGAAGTGAGAAAGTGCTTTCTTTGTAGATTCTAAAGCCTACTTCTAATGTCTGAAGTTTTCGTTGTCATTGAGGATGGTGGAATATGTGGGTGATGGGCTAGCAGAGGGTGTGTGTGAGTCAGGGTAGCTGTGTGAATGAGCATTTGTGGGTGTCAGGTTGACCTGATGAATTAGGTATGCAGTGCGTTACTCAGGGTTAAGGGGAAACACAAAAGGGAGGGTCGGAGGATAGTAAAAAATAGAGAGGACAGGTATGTGAAAGAACTACTAGGTAAAAACGGGAAATTACATGGACATCAGAGGAAGCTAGATGGAGATCAGTACCCTACAGAACAGACTATTATTGATTCAGGAAGAATTGGGACAATATACACATGACTTCTGTTTTTTATTGCTGGTTCTTTATGCTTTTTGAACAAACTTTTTGTTTTACTGTGACCCTCAAGTCATTTTGTGGTTTGTGTTGAGGCCAGCTTACCAATGGTATAAATCTCATTTTCTAAAGGTTTGTAAATTGTCAGATTCTACCCTGCTTGAGGACCATCTTTAGATGACATTGAACCAGTCAGGGTATAATCTCCTGCTTGGCTGAGTAGGTCTGAGCTGTGGGTTTTTTGTTTGTTTGTTTTTGTTTTTTTAGTACATTTAAAATATATGTGTTTATTCATAGAAGCTAAGTGGGATCAGCTAAGTTTCATTTTTATTTATTGATGAAACAAGAGTAAGTAGCCAAATCACAGACTAAACTGAATTGTGTGGCCTGATCTTGAGCTTATTTTCAGACAAATTTGAGAATCAAGTATTAAAAAGTTTTTTCAATTCTAAAACTGATGATAAAGGAAGAAAAGCTAAAACTTTTTAGCTTTTCATTTGGAAGCATTTTAAAAATCTTGCAGGGCTACCCAATAATGTATCGTTCTGATATGATCTAAAGGATATATATAGATATACATATATTAGGAAAAGAAAATATTCAGGGGGAAAATATTTAACAAGTGAGAATATATTTCCTTCCTTAAAATTTTAAAACTGAAATGTAGTATGTAAGTGCTTATTTCTACATTTTAAAAATCTGCTTAAATTTAAATATATAGGGCACATCTCTTAAGGTTCTCATTATATGGGGGCAGACCAGTACACCAAAAGGATCCAATTCAGAAACTCATCTGGACGTCTCCTTTAGTGCTGTCTTGATATCATCAGATAACTGCCTTAATCAACTTTTCCACAGGTTTTTGGCTGTGTAGCCCTAGTCCTTCCTGTCAGTGCCTGAATTCAAGATGAAGATTACTTGAATTTAAAGTAACGATAAACCCTGAACTTTAGACACTGTTGTTTCCAATCTGACAAAGAGAGGTTTTGGGGGTTCTAAATATTTATTTAGAAGTACTGTGGCAAGATTGGGTGATAAATGTTATAGACACTGACCAGACAATAGCTGTGGTGTTGGTCTTCATGGAGATTTATGACCTTACAGCTCTCTCTTCAACATGGTGCCAGCTGTTATCTATGAGCAGCACTTTTATTGCTAGACCTGGAAAAGCAAAACTCTGTTTTGAAGGTCTATAATTTGGGTCCTTAACTTATTTACCAGGTTTTAGGAAACTAAACTGAGTCACCTTCCTCATCTTAAAGAGAAAGCATCCCATTGTTCAGCGATACAACCCAATGGGATGAGTACCAGGGAGAAAACTGTCTTTCCCCGTTACTTCGGGGATCGCCATGCTGCCAATAGACAGTTTAGTCCTTCTAATGACTTTAATAAACTGTTCCTTTTTACGGCACCTTAAACTGTCTGTAGCAGAGCTGAAGCATTTTCTTTGCTATGTTGTGTGTCCCTTCCAGTCATTTGTAGCTCCTGGAGCAGACTGTGTAGGATGTACCGGGTCCCTCGTAAGAAGAATGTCTTTTCTGCAGGCTCCTCATTTCACAACTGATTTGTAGTTTAGAGGAGTGCAGGACTGCTTGGGAACCATGAAGTTCTTGGTGGCTGTGGTGCTTTTACCCACCTGACTGCTCAACCCCTTGATTCTGTTCTACCTAGACACTGCCTTGATAACAGTGTCGCATGCTTTGCTCTCTGCTTAAAATACCTGAGTCCATCCCTCTCATACTTGTTTGCTTTAGGGACCCCGTGGGACCAGTGCTGGCACATGTCCTTCGCGGAGCAAATATAGACAAAGAGACTGCCCTTGAAATTCATTTGTGTCGTTCCTTTGCTTCCAGGTGTCAGGATAAGTGAGTGGGTGAGCACTATGCCAGTTGAATATCAGGAATTAAGGGTCTGAACACAAGTGATGCTACATTTTGTGCCTTCTTTGGGACAGGCAAAAATTCTAGACATGGGCACGTGAACGTTTCAGCCTTCATCTTTCGCATGTACTGTGACAGGCACATGCAGAACCTTATCGGGATTAATCCTCTAAAGTTAAAGACAAAAGTGTATATATCTATTTGAGGAAAGTGTTTCAATCTGAAGGTCAGAGTCCGTTGCAGCGATTACTGCTACCACAAAATTGTGGCCTGACAAAAGAGATTCACAACCGTCACCAGTGGTTCACGTACTCAGCAAGACTTAATACGGCCAACTAGATTCCACGGTGTCAAAGGAATAAAACAGAGCCTTACAGTTCTCTGTAATGGGGTTTAATCTTTCCCAGAATTGGACATAACGAATGACTATAATGAGAAGAATTATAATAAAGTCTCACTGGCTTTTCCCAGTATAAAGCGGTTCATAACAAAGAGAATTAACACATCGTTGTCTGTCAGCTGATTTTCAGCTACATCATTTTATGGTTCACAGAACTCTATAATATTCTGTCCTTCCAAGTTTTATGGGCATAAGCTTTGGGAAGTAATTTGCCTGATTCGTGCACTGACACTGTAAAAAGATGTTATTTTAAATATGGCAAATTGATTTCAGAGTCTGTGGCTTACACTTAAGAGCGTACCTGTGGTTTTTTGTTTGTTAGTGGGCAAGTTTCTGTGCACTCTAGTCTATGTATGCCTGAGGAGAATATTTTATAATTATAGAACTGTAATATCCAAAGCTATTGTTAGAATAATGTTCTTATAGGAAATTTGGCATGCCTTAATGTTGAGTTTAAAGACAAGAGAAGTCTTTCACCAGCCATGAATGAAGAATTTGGAATCAACCTCAGAGTGAGACGCCATAATTATATAGATCTGTTTTGGTTGTTCAGCCTCTCACAAGTGTTTGATTGATTTCTTTATTTTTACCTCTCTATTTCAGGCTCAAAAGAATGTGGCATATTTAGAAATTATTTTACCATGAATTATTATTTTATTTCAGGGAAATATGGCTCCAAATTTTAATAACTCTCCTGTGTTTCAGGAACAGCCAGCCTTGTTTTCCCACTGCCATCTTCACGCTTGCTGGCCAGGCTCCAAACACATGTCGTACAAGAAAGTGAAGATGGGTCGTTACTATATAGTATACTGAGAGTGTTTACTTTGTGGTTTTCATTGTCCTTTTCACTTTACTTGCCAAATAAAAAAAATAGTTTGATGTTGATTATGTGTTATTTGATATTGTAAAAGGGAAGTTATGAAGGTTATGGGCTTTTTCTTAGGGCATTCGATGCCTTATGTGTTAATAACAAGTGTGTCATATCATTTTAAAATAAAACTATTTATTAAGATGTTTATTGTGTTTGTTAAATTTTATTGAAATCTGAGCCTACGATGCTGATTTGGTCTTTTAAAATTATATTTGAAATTATGTTTCCAATAAAAGTATAAGTAATATTTACCCCCAATTCAAGCATAACACTCTTCTTGCCACCTATCATTGAACAATGTAAATTATGCCTTATTTCTTTAGTTTATATGAAATAGTCAAATCTGTTTGGGTTTCTCTAAATTACTCAGTATTGAACTTAGACTGTGAATTCCACAATGAGGAAAAAAATATATAAGTAGATAATTTTAAAACACTTATCTATAAATCTAGAAAGCTTTTAGGTAAGAAACAAATATTGAATTAGCTTATGCCCCTGCTCTTAAATGTCTCTTAATCTAATTTTGATCCTCATTTTCATTGGAGGGATGCATCAGAATCTATATTATTAAGTGGGATTGTATCCTTATTATGTATTAGTGCTGCCGAGGTTGAGAAGCCTAAAAGGACAATTTGAAAGGAGGCCTCACATATTGCTCCACTTATTTAAGACAAAAATTGGATCCAGATTCTCATCTACTACAAAGAAATAAAATCTAGTTTTTTAATATATATTTTTTTCTAGGCCTCTTTTCTTTTTTTGTTTAATCACCTCCGATCATTCAGAATGAGCTACACAATGCTGCTACAATTCCAGTCTCTCGCTACATGACCCAGCCCTTACAGGTCAGCAGGGAGGCGCTCAGAAACCCAATCTAACGCAGCTACCTTTTCACATGTTGCTGGTTGTCAAGCTAG